TGGAGCCTATGGGAGTTTTGGAAATTTGCTCGCTTCGTATCTTTGGAGCCTTTAAACGCACTTTCACCTTAATTTAATCCATAATTCTTGTCCTTTGGGCACTTCTACCTTAATTTAAAAACGATGATTTCTAAATTATCTTATTAATTATCTCCCCCATCTCTCCTCTCTCTCTCTTGTCGAAAGTCGATACCTAAAACACGCGTTTATCTCTAAACAAGTACGATAAATTGCTTATCAACGTCACTTTCATTTCCTCAGAATAGTTATGTATTTATTATGAATTCACAATATAATAATAATAATTTGCTGTAACTGCTGAATAGTACATTTACAAATTAATATGGAAATAGGTAATATTAAAGAATTAATTGGAAAGCGTGAATAGTAGAGATATTTAGCAGCTCGTGAAAGGGATGGAAAAATAGCGCGTAAGTACATCGAATTGGAAAGAACGCGGATAGAGGAATGTAAAAGTAATTCAGGGTTCTCCGTTTTGTTGCACGTGCAGAACAAGCAAGGTAAACTTATTCCACATTCCTATCTATCACAGGGTCATCTCACTTTTGCATACGAAGAAACACCCATCTTGGAGAAAACAGGAATATTCTTGGAACACGTCGCCATCTAATGTGGATCTAGAGCGAGCACCCCCACAGAGTACCGACATACTAAGCCTGGTAAATAAGCCGATCTTTAGAGAGATTGCCAGAGACCTGCGACCTTTTTAATGCACTGTATTGACTTTCACGAATGATTAAATACCGAGCAACGCAAGCTTTCCTCCTGTTATGCTAAAGCTCCGGTATGTAATTAATATCTTTCTCCGTATAAGCTCTCGTTGCAACTTGTTACTCCCGAAAATATTCGAACATTGTATATAAGCTAGCCTTTCTAGTGATGTACTTTGGTTAATTATAGAAAGGATTAGGTCGATGCTTTCTCGTTATCAAGCGAAAATGATTACTTTGAATATTCGTGGTATAATGTTCATGTTGCTCGTATTCGTAATATTTTAAAGATTAAATATTGTATATTATAGTAAACGTTAACATAGTAACTGAAATTTCAAACAATAACAAAGTTAAATATCCGACTGAAAATTGCAATTTCTTCGAACAACGTTGGCGGTCACCCATCTTAACATCAGTCGCGGGGAATGAAGCTTGACTTGGAAAGCTACCGAAGAGTCGCCCTACCCACTCCCCATTTCTCCCCCGATAAAAACAACTTCATTCTTATGTTATTGGTGGTGTAGACAAATTCGAGCAGTTTTTTTAATCGAAGTCGCATCACAACAGAAATGTTCGTCGTTTACAAACAAGTCTTGCTCGAACTGATATATTATCAAAAGAAGCGAATACTTCGATAAATTTAAACTAACGACGTATTCAAACTAGATCTAAAAATTGCGAAGCTTATCTTCGTAAATATGTCGCTAACCAACAATTAAATGATAAGAATATTGCGTAGTTATTGATAAAGTCTTAGATGGAGGGAAAAGGAACAGTTTAAAATATTAGATAGGCTTGAGATAACCTGCTTAGTAATGGATACTGTCATGCTAAACTTGCATATTAATTTATGCGCGCGCGCGTGCACACTCACAGACACACACAGTTGTTTGTAAGTTATAGAAGTACAGGAGTTTCGTAAGTACCCTGAAATTTAACATATCAAATACAACTTTCAGCGACAAAATTTTTACGACATATCACATTGAATAAATTATTGATACAAAAATATATCAAACATTTCTATCAGACAATTATTCGTATGACAGAGGTGATTAAAAATTCATTTTCATACGCAAAAATTAGTCGAATTAAAAGATATCTCCTGGTACCTTTGAAACCGAGAAAAGTCAATCAAATTGGACAAATCATCACCGAGTGCTACTCAAAAACACTGCATATTTTCACGGAAGAAATCTCAACGTTCGCACCTTGCATACATTTTCGTATCACATGTTTCCCTAAGAAAGTGTAAACACGAACGTAACGCAAGCGTTAACAGAAGAGAAAATCTCGTCTACTTAAAATTCAATCCAGTTGACAAGCGTGTTCAAAAGTTACAAGTAATTGGCCGAGCGGAATGCAAGGGCGAGTATTATGCAATGCGCCTCTCTTGTCTACACCCTGAGGACGTGATCGCAAGAGAAAGAGAAAAAAGAGAAAGAGAGAAAGATAGGTAGGTAAGGAAGGTAGGAGAGAAGGAAGCACCCGGTATTGCATGCCACTCCCTGGTAAATGTTAAGATTGGTTTTCGGGCTACTAGAGTAGTCGCGAAGTACGACCCGAAGCGACGTGGTTAATGTGGCAATATGATATATAAGCGGGAGGTATGTCGGCTCAAATAGCCTCTGGTAGAAAGGGACTCTGGTTGGGCTCTCCTTTCGTGTTCCTGTGACTTCTAGTAAGAGCATAAACCCTTCTAGAAATATATGTAAGAGCCGCTGAAACGGGGAAGGACTTTAACGTCCAGTCGTGCGCGTACATAAACACGAAAATATCGTCGGTGCATATACACAGAGCGCAACGGCTTTTCGGCCAACCGATTACTGCCGCCTTAAATCAATCGAACGATCGAACTTCGAACGTGCCTCGTATCGTTCACTATACACACACAGACAGGCTATCCCGCGAGACGCATCGCGCGACACGCACACAAATCTACACTCACACATATTAGGTGGCTTGGTGGAAAGTGCTACATGACATGGAGGATGAATGCAAGACGATTAACGACATCTTACGTTCCGCGGCCGATAAATCACCAGCCACTGTAAATGGACTCGGCTTACTTACTTCTCACCTTGCTTCTCACAGTCGAGAAGTGTTGCTGTCAGAAAAATTATAATACGAGAATCTCACCTGCCGCGAATCGATATCGCGTATCGCCAACTGGTAGATATCGCAAAGGCTACCGTGTACACGACACTACACGTTTATACGACCACGGAAGTCCGATGATACAGAGGATGGGCCAGGTGAAACAGGCCACCTAATTGTCTTCTTCAGCTACGGTGGCGCGAGAACATTTTTCTATACGTAATTTAAATGGCTTTGCGAATAAGATGGGGGAAATTTTTTTTTTTTCAATACGACCTTGGATTTTTTAATTTTGTCATTTGTCGAAATGAATTTTTTCTGATTGGATTCGCGTAATTGATTAGAAGCTACGGAGTTTCTATCGAGATGATATTTGTAAGTTGTTAGAAAAATGGCAAAAGGTCAGAAAATAATGGAAATTATTTCTATGCTTGATCTGTTTTCATTCTTTCTCAAATCAAACTTCGATTGTACCCAAAAATCGGGAAGAATTCATTTCTGTACCTAATAAATCAAACGTGAAACCTCCTTTCGTTTTTTGCCATTTCTTCCACCTTATTCGCTTTTCGAAGCTATTTAAGTTACGTGTAAAAATTTGTAAAGAATATACATGGACTTTATACATTTGTCATATGCAGATGTATAATGAAATTGTATATTTCTATATTTATGCATTTTTATAATGCACGTTTCTTTAAATTGTGCGTAACTATAAACGTGACGCACTTGACTTTTTAAAATGTTTCTTTGTGTTCATTTAATGCTGCGTGGTACTTTATACTGTTAGAATGTTAACAACAAATAAATTACACCATACGATGTTTATAAAATATGAATTTGTATTTTGCATCAATAATGCATATTTCATGTCTACCTTTCGATAATAGAGATTAATTTTAAACATACTGTATATTTTAGGCGTTAATTTCGTGGTTTAATCGTTATTGTTAACATTTCCTCAGCTATTCTCCGGTGTAGCCAATGTTATTAAGAAGAAAAATCATTTTAATCCTTTGTACTTGCGAAAGTCGAAGGAGTTTCCGAATAAAGATTTCAGAAAAGATATTTGGAATGTAGGATATTAGAATAATGGTAGACAAGATTGATGATGTTAGGAGTAAAATATACAGTATGATGTAATACACACTCACCTTCATCACAAGTTGACGTAAAATCATCCATCGCTTTAAAGAATCTGAAATGAAAGAGAACACATATATTTACTTTTGGAAGTATCAAAAAGATGAGTATGTATCCCGAAGTTGATCAAATTTTCGTTACGAAAAACAAGTGGAGAATAATAATACCGTAGAAAATTTCTCGCTTTCTCTTCAAACGTCACTGATAAATTAAAAAAAAAAAGAATTTTATTTTTAGATATCTCCTTTTGCAATTCTTCTTTGCAAATTATTTCAGCAATGATACAAATTTTTCCAATTTGGAGGAAAATTTTGTCTTATAGTCATTTCGATGTAGGAATTTTTCTTTAAAAGAAAATTCTATTTGAAATTGCACACTTTATCATTATCGATAAGATTTAACAGAATATAAAGGTCAATTTTGGCATACGGCCGAAACGACAAATTTTTTTACAGCATGATTCTACCCATTCTAAGGAACGAAAAATGTAATTGTCATTTTTCCCGGAAATGGTGGGAAAGTTATGAAAAATGCGGTTCAAGGTAAGAGTATGACCATACTTATAACCGTCTCGTTTTCTTCGGAAACTCATATTGAGTATTATTTACAAAGATTGTTGTACATTAGTGTTTAATAAAAACCAAAAATAATTAATGACAAATTAATCGAAACAAGGAATTCTTTGATGACACAATGCTTCTATTCGAAGCAATCAGAAACCAATAGTTATTTATTCTCGAAGTGATAAAAATTATAATAAACTATCGTAAATATAATAAAATAATCGTCATGACAGGGATACAATAAGGCTCTCCTTAGGCTCTCCTCTATTTTCAATGAACTATAATCAATTAAACGTAGGCTCTCCTCTATTTTCAATTAACTCAATGATTCGATTGTGTACGTGAAACTGCAGCTGTGTAGCTCGCAGAGACACGCTTCTTGTTTGATTTTTCTCCCACGCTGAGCTGTTCATTTTGCACTTGAATTCGGTGCACTAGCTTCTTGTATGCAGCGGCACTTAATTCACACGAACGAATATGCTAAGTACGTAAATTGATTGGAAAACCGCGTATAATAGAAAACGCGTTGCTCGATGTATTCCCTACAAGACTATAATCGCGCAGTATAAGCGACGTTCATCGAGGCACTCGTTCGACGGCCTCGTAAACACCGACTGAGGACGAGTCGTCCTGCCCGATTCCTGATCGCTGTACGCTCGCAACTGTTCTGGGGAAAATTCTAGGCGTTAACTTCTTAGAACTCGTGATATTTCTTGCGAGCCAAACATAAGAAACGCGAGCCTAGGTCGCTGTACGTACATCGAGCCAAACATAAAGCTAGCTGTCCTTTTCAGAGTAGAACTATCGCGAGAGTATCTCTCAGACCATCATCCGAAGAAAACAAGACGGAATATAATATTTTTCATAACATTACCATCATTTCCGGGAAAAATGACAATTACATTTTTCGTTCCTTAGGATGCGTAGAATCATGCTGTAAAAAGATTTTTCGTTCCGGTCGTATGCCAAAATTAGCCTTTTTTTAACATCCTCCTTTTCAGGATAATAGAATTGCGCGTTCAATAAATAGTATTCGAATTAGTTTTTGAAACTGATTATTTCAATTACTCTAAACTAAAATATAATAATAGACATTTCGATTTGTATAAACTCTTTTTATACAATTTAAATTAGCCTTTTATGCAATTCAATTTTTCGACTTTAAACGTTGGACACCTCGATCTTAAAAGTACATAAAAGAGCTGAACTCGATTTCACTTATGATAAATGTGTTTCAATTATTTATTTCGTTACAAAGTCATGAAAACCACACATGTCATCGTCCCTAATAAATAATTTTAATTTACTTATCGCAATATGACAGCAAAATTCTTATATAAAACACTTAATAAAAATACGAAGAGGAAGGTAAAGCGGTGTTCTTACTTTTCTCTGAAATATCTCTTCATCAACTGTCAAAACTGGATTAACCCTTTCGTGATCAGTGGGGAGCATATGTTCCACTTGAGTACTCGAACAGAAAACCTATTACAAGCGTAATGGTTGGTAGGTGAATAAAAAATTCTTGCAAAGAAAATAATAGGGTCACGAAAGGGTTAAATGCCACGATAACCGATTCCGGTTCTTCCTTAATTCGAAATAAAGTATACTTATTGAGAAAATGTGTTTCGTTTATTTTCAAATTATCTTATAATATTTCAAACACACGGTGCGTGTTCTCCCGTGTTAGAAAAAAGAAAAGCGACAGCTGAATCATAGAAAGACACATCTATCAGAATAGTGACGGTACCTTCTAAGAATGAAATATCGAATAATGGCTGTCGAGAGTCCACACACAGTGGCGCCGGCGGTACGGTGAAATATGACGAGCGTTAAATTAATTTGACTTGAAATTTGAATTACAGATTCTACGTGAAGGTGCGTACGAACAAGGCGCTTCTCGTGCTCCCACTTGGATTTTCCACAAAAAAAAAAAAATCACCTATCGAAAAGTAATCTCATCAACGCCACCGTTTATGATTTCATCGTTAACGTCATCCTTGTAATTTTCGTTGAGAAATCTAATTCAGTAATTTTATCGTACGAAGTGGACAGAAATTAAATTAAAAAAAAAAATCACCTAACGAAAAGTAATCTCATCAACGCCACCGTCTGTGATTTTATCGTTAACGTCATCCTTGTAATTTTCGTTGAAAAATCTAATTCAGAAATTTGATCGTAATATAAGAAGTGGGAAGAAATTAAATTCAAGTTTGAAATTTAGAAAATTTTAGTCGGAGAAATGTAAATATCCCCAATACAAATGAATGAAAGTACAAAAAAAAAAGGACTAATGACATCTGAAGTGAGCAATTAAACTGGCCAGTTAGCAGAACAATGTAACAATTGAAAGTGACATTACACTTTTCAAAATGTGACGTTTTAGTTTATCTTAAATAAAATAATCAATTTTGGCGGTAGATTCAAAATTAAGTGTTCTATCTTTATAATTGATCACGAAGAATAGTGAACAATGTGTTCGTGCGCCCACAAGAAGGAATGCACCGAAGAATACTTCACTGCAACGTCCAATTTAGAACCGTATGTAACTTAACCTTCACGTAAATATCTATCAAACGTAAGAGCAATTGTAAGCACACGTTGCAAGGTACACGTAATAATCAATTCAATGTTGCAACACCGGTGTTCAATTTTTACTCGAAATACGCAGGAAGTTTTAGCTCTTAACAGCTAAACTTCGGAAATGTGCAGTGGCAATCAAAAGAAGAACAGAAGTTCGTGTAAACACGTTCGTTTCCGCGTCGTTTTCGAAATACACAGATGTGAAATTACGTATCTTGCCACAGTACACGAAAGCTTGAAATCTTGTAATATTTGAATGCTCGAAAATCAGAACGAAATGAACAGTTGCAGATTTTGCACATAAAGGAAGCATTTTTCTATATAAGAAGTAAATTCTATCGAATTATAAACAATCTACTCAACGAACTCTCGAATTGTTATCAATATTTTCTTATCGAATAAGAAACCAATGTATGAAACATGTCAGTTCTTCATTTTTATTTTTTTCTGAGTTGTAAAAAAAGAAAGAAGAAGAGTATCGGGTACTTTTGCGCCTCTCGGTGCTTCCAATTAAAATTTGCATATATCTGCAGAGAAGTATCGCTAGATCCGTTGTCGCAACGGTCACCTATCGATCGAAGTCATACGGAATATTGCACGGCTGACTGTTCCGCGGCATCAACCCCAAGAACACCACCGCGCGAGTTTCAACGTAGTCTTGCCCCAATGACACCACTTAAGCAACTTAGACGACGCCCTGAATTAACAGTCGGAGTAGCTGTAGCGCGTCGTCTGGATCGTACGTCGAATCTACTGCTAATTTTTTATAGATTTGAAATGATGTAGAGATCAATAGCAATTTGCCCTATTTCGATTAATTTAAATTACAAAAAATTCGTTAAAAAGTTCTTAAGATTGCTTACTTTTTTCTAGAAATTTTGATGTAACTTGCAGTGCACAGTAATCCCAAACTTTTGGCCGGTGGTGCATGTTACTCTTTATCAATTTTAACCGCGAATTTCTTTGAAAACTATCTGTATATAATAAAAATACAACAGTCTTCATATCAGAATATAAAATATGTAATTTTTGCTACGAATCATTTTCTCACGTATTTTTCTTATGTCATATGTTATGTTTGCAGTCGAAAATCTAACATGGTCAGACGGCACATTCGACGAGACCGAAGATCAATCGGAACCTTCGTGTAAGTTGCTTTCGCTTGTGAAAAATTGTAACAGGAAAAACAAGTTTTATGTTAATTTCGCAAATCTAGTTCCAGGTATACGAGGCCCTATTCCTATCGCTTCGTCTACTACACGTTATCCTGAATTTCAGCGTAGAGTAAAAACTCCAGGAACTTACAAAGTACATCGTGCAAGATTACCGCAATATCCACAAACACCCAGACAATTCTTGCCGAGAATGACTAAAATGACACCCTGTGGAAAGTGCTTAAGGGTGAGTATTTAAATTCGTGTTAACGGATAGATGGATTTTCAGACGGAACAACTTTTTATGTGTACCGATCTTCGCTAGATGTAAGGACAACGACGAAGTGAGAACTTGTCAATGGATACATCGGATGCTGCGTATTTTACGATACTCTCCTTATGCGTGCAAGGTACAGACATTCGATATGTATTTATACACTGATTTTCTGACTAATATGACTAATTATAGTTAATTTTCTAAACAAGTATACGTCTTTATCTTTGTTGCTTTTCGACTTTTAAAGAGAGATTTATCATCGTATTATCTATTATTATTTTTTACTTTCTCTCGTAATGGGAAATCTACCAGAAAAGTGTTGTGAAATTGCAGATCGTGTAATTTTTACAGCAAATTTTAAATGAACGTTGATAAATAAATGTTTTTTCGATGAATCAATATTGTGGAAGGTTTGCTCCTAAACGTTAATAACTAAAAAACGAAGCCTCAAACATAATTCTGTTTATTCTTCCTTTTCGTCTTCTACAATCGTGCTTTAAATTTTCTCCCAAGAGTGGTCGAATCCCCTATACATTATACTCACGATAAATTTGCATAAAAACAACTGTTTCTTTCTTGTATTCGTAGAATACGTATTTTGTCGAATATTACGATTGATAAGTGCAGAAACTTCAGCGAATATTGAAAGAAGAAAAACCTAAATCGACATTATACTCTCTATTTTTCTCTTCCATTGTACTCTAATTATTTTGACTTTGCACGCAACATTTTGAAAATTGAATTCTCATTCTACGCATATGCTACACTTTCAAGCTCGATGCATTTCACCGATAAACGTATCAAACAAAATTAGCATGTTTTTTCCCTCAAACAGTACCTGGATCATGCGTAAGCCGAGCAAGTGTCGTGCTTAGGAAACACGGGGCGAAGACAAGAATGATAGATGATGGCAAATTTGCGTAATTAAGCGATCTGTCCGGGTGGTCCCAAGAGTGAGACGCATTTCTCGTCATCTTGGCAATGTTCCCAAGGTGGAGAAAACAAAGAGAAGCGACGAGAATTTCCAGGACGTATCGCAGCAATTTCGGCGAGGTTCATGCGTCGAATTAATGGCACCAGAAGTATCAAGTACGCGTACACGTTCTGCTATTACGTGCACCAGAAAACGTGAAGCATATTTTACCCGCCCACAACTGCCTCACCGAATGTTTCTTTTTCACCTCTGTGCTAATGCTGTCACAGTATTTCTCTTGTGCGGCATATGTAACGCCGGTAATCAGAATCTTCAAGGTGAAATCATTTAATTCCACTGAACTAGATCAATAACACACTCTAAACGGAATAAAATCGACAATACAATTGGATGATCTTTATTTGTTTTTATTAAAGCAACTTCGAGATTGTTCGTCAATCTTCGTTAGATCTAAGGACAAATTACCTACATGAGATGAAGTGACAAATTATCAACGGAAGGGTGGGCCACGTAAAACAGGCCACCTAATTATCTAGCAATACCAAGTAGTCATTTAAATGGTTTCAAAGGATGAATAAGATGGAAGAAAAATTTGTTGACGAAAGAAATGGCAACATGATGAAGGATTTAAAATTTTAGAGTCCAACGCCATTTTAAGGCCATATCATTATGCATGTTCAAATGCATATCAACGTCTTCATTTGTTTATTCCTGTGAAAAAACAGGCAACCTTAAAAAAAAAAATAGAAAAATGTTTTTCCATCTTATCCATCCTTGGAAACCGTTTAAATTACACATCCTCATAGCCAAATAGAGAATATGATTAGGTGGCCTGTTTCACGTGGCCCACCATGTAAATTTATTCCCAGATTTTCCTAGGTTTTTACCCTCGTTGCTTCCTAAGTTACAGCTAGATCACTCCTTGACACAAGCTGATCTATCAACATAACGTCTATCACAGCAAAAGTATCGTCACCTTACAGGTAATTATTTCGTTAAAATTGATTCACTCTTCGGCCAAAATTCGATACAGCGAACTTGGCGACACTTTTCGTACATTTCCACAAGTATTCTGGTGCTCGGCGAACGTTCTCGCAGGGTATTCCTTTGTATTCGTGGAATATACGAGCATTGTCTCGCAATACAAGACAGAGAACACAGGGAAACCTATGTTCCATGCCTCAAAGAATAAAGACGTCGTTGCTGAAGCGTCAACACCCACGTCCTTTATCGCGCGTCGGGTACATTGTAGTCGGACTTGCCTCGAATCCTCAACGAACACGATTCGAACGCATTTAAGGAACCTGAGTCCGCATAATGTCAACATGGTAGTGAATATCGTGCAACCTGATCTCTGTTAGGTATATCTCGTTACAGTAACTAGTAACATTTTAAATTAAGATGAAATGTACTATAATACGTGCTATGATTTAATCGTACGTTTAATGTACGATGAAATCGGTAAGATCGATGTAGAAGAATTATTCTAAACCCAAGTGTGAATCTATCATACAGAGTGTATCATAATTTCAGTGGTGGATTTAGCATATATAAATAATGAGTACTGTTTGATCTTGTTTTCGAGTTAGAGTCGTTTTTGGTGTTGTATCAGTTGTTCACCTGTCTTCACAGAAATTTGGCTCGAATATCAGCCTCTATTGACTTTCTGACCCATTCATAGTACCAACAAAGTTATACATGAAATATCAGGCGAATTAGAAAAAAGAAAAAAATAAATTGTGATACGCTTCTCTTTCCTAAATTTCAAATTAGGCAAAAATAGCTTGCAGCACTAGTAATGTCTATAAATTTGCAGAAAAATGATGTAAAATAACTATAGCAAAATGATATTACAGTAGCAATTGTACGCGTGTGTACAGAATTTACAAATTCGATTTCTTCGAAAATGAGAAATCATACGAAAAAATTTAATCTACAATTTTAGACTTATTTTTACTAATAGCATCACCTGTGTATAATACTTGGTTGCATCGCCCATTTTGACCCACCTTATCGCGGTGAATTAATTTACGTAAAATTAATTTGAAATTATTTTCTATTCCGTATCGCAGAACCACACTGTTGACGTTCCTTTAGACAAACTAGAACACGAAAAATAATAATAATACGTGTGCTTAACAAAGCTTCTTACCAAAACTCGGAAATTCAGATAATAACAGATAATAAAAATGCGGTGAAATTAAAAGTAACTATAGGAAAACACGAATTAGGCGAGAATGATAAACTTCACTTTGTGTCGAGTTCGACATAAAATTTGGAATATTGACAAACGGAATTGGAATTTCATCGACTCGAGAAAGAAACGATAATTGAATTATACACATCGCACTTTTGCATTACGCGATGAAACTTACGTGCAGTAGCGTGTTATACCTTATAATTGTACGTGTGTGCGCGCAAAGCAGCATGCATATGTGCATACTGTATAATATTCTGTAAATCATCAGACGTTTATTGCAGTTAATTAGCCAACCCGTCAGTGTACCAACCTGTTTTGCACCTTATGTTCAGAGAAATGCTATTCAATGGCGCAAACATATTCGCCAATAAGAAAATCAATATGACGGCAACGTGCAAAGGTTAATATGTAAATGTCGTTTCAAACTATCATCGGTATCGCCTTGGAATTTCAAGGTTCAATTTTACTCGACACTTTTCACGAATAAACCAACAGTCGTATTTGATACATAAAGTTTGCGATCTTTCTAACGACAAACATCGATAAAAATGCGAATTGCTTCAACTACGAAGATAATTAAGACGATATTGCTATCTCCTAAATTTGAAAATAGAAACTCGCTACTTTGAGAAAAATAAAAAAAAAAAAAACAAACATAACAAAATTCTATCGATATTGAAAAGTAACAATACGACGAAAAGTTGCGAACAATTTCGATTTTGCAATTGACTGCAGCCTCGGCTGCAATACATTCGTTTCTTCGTACTAAACGAGGTAAGATTTCCTGGACGGTGTAATATGACGCGCCGTATAACACGTTTTTTACAACCTAAATTAACGAATCTAAAATATTGGCGAAAGATCGGCAATAATTTTCGAGCATTTTTTTCTTTCGTGTACACGTAACAGAGAAACGTGTGCAAAATCGGGAAAAGAAAAAAGAAAAGAAAGAAGAAAAGAAAGCTATACTTCTTGAATAAGATGATACACAGGCACTCGATAGCGAAGTGATCGCTGAACATCATCTGTATCGTGGAAATGAAGCGTTGATCCCCAAACAAACGGACGAAACAGAAACAACGTATCGATAAGAAATAATCATTAAAGGAGACAAGGTTCGATATACCAAAAATTTGATGCCAATAGAAAGACGTAAGGTAGAAATAAGGCTGAAAATAATACTTATAGGATAATTAAAATGATGAAAAATAGGTTTTATTCCGCTTACTTTAGCACCACTTCCATAGATGGGACATCCCGCCCGTGTACCATAATTTTCTCATACTTGACGCCATATTTTACGAAGTCCTATAACAAAATAACAGTGAAAATAATTATTAATTGTCCAGGTGGAAGAGACAGCTTTTTGTCATTTTTCATTTTTACCTAGAATCTAGGCCGTAGATCTATTATCAACAAGCTATATCGCTATCCCGCGTTGTCGTCTATAATTGCAAGTGTTTTCGTCAAATTAAATCAATCAACTTTTATTGTCTATTTCTCTAGATTTAAATTTTAGAATATATGTGAACATTACAGACTACGATTTGCAACGATAAAAAAGTAGCAAATTATGTAAAATGATTAATAAAAGGAGCTGTACACCGATATAAACAACGTTTTAGAATATTAAAAATTGTGACATTATTTCTAGTGTAGTTGTGAATTTTAAAAAAATACAGAACTACTAATATCTAATTATGGTGGAAGTGCCACTATCGTATTTACGTTGATTTCTTTTTAAAAGAACATTAAAAATGACTGATAAAATATATACAAACAATTGTGCTTCGTCGTTATTTAATCCTTCTGAAGAATTAATCATTTCCTCCCAAGAAAACGTTTACAAAGTCAAAATTAAAAGTATCATTAAGAATACTATTATGTATAAAGCGTTCTAATTAGATCTGAACAAGATGAAAAGAGTTTTGTGTTAATGACCGATGGCTTAAAGATGTATTATTTCTAAAATATTTTCTCTCACAAACCCTAGTCTTCTTCGCGTGGCAAATGACTGGCCAAAGAAGAAGAAAAAGAGACCATGGAACAGCCGAATACTGCCTTGACTTTAGGACTTACTGATGTAATTGATTGGTCTTAGGTCGTGACAGGTCTGACTAATCTAATTATTAATTCTTGATCTCCACCGTCAAAATGTAAAATTGCAAGATTACAGAGGGCTCGGAAGAAGAAACAAAAAGTGAATTTTTCGAATACACTTCACTTACGTTTTCATTGTAGTAGCGATCTGTGTTCGTCAAGTCGATAATACATTTGAGACGTGGGAACGCTCGCATTAATATCGACGGTGTAAATCTGTAACAGAGAGTATGTTTAAATTATATAATATGCGAATGAAATATTCAATGTCGATCTATCGAGTTAAGATACGCCGCATGTATTGTTAAATGACAACTTTATTTTGAAATTGAGAAAAGAGAAAGAGAGAGGAATAGATAGGTAGATAGATAGAGATAGGTAAACATATAAGTAGATAGATAGATAACAGATAGATCTATATAGAGAGAGAGGAGAGATAGAGACACACAGATAGATAGAAGAGAGACGCGGTGCCCTATATTACGGAAGAATCTTCGAAGGCGCGATCTAGACGACACGATGATATATCGAGGGAAGAAGGAATCTAGGGTCTGAAGCAAAAGGGCCGGAATTAGGTGGGGGTGTCGGTCGAAATAGTTTCACCATCCCTTTCGATATATCAAATTCTCTTAAAACTTGTACCAGGTGCTTCTCGGAGAAAATAGCACGGGTCCGCTTTGTCTCGGATAAGTGTTTCTCATAAATAAACAACCTTCCCCGTTCATGCTGCGAAGTTATTAAAAACCCCCAAATCTACCGGAATACTAATGGATATAAAAGTCATTAACGAACACCTCTCACGTGTTCCAACAGATTTATATTGTCAGTCGAACATTTATTTAATCAAACGTGAGGTGTATTAAATACGTATACAAGATAATCGAAACGAATCTGTGAACATTTTTTATACGACAAATCCCCTGGAAATTCAATAATGAAGGATATAGAATTTCGCGTACTCTGATATCTTTTGGCCACCTAAGTAAATTCCGAAACGCGATCGTACGTATAAATCAGCGACGCGTTTCATCCACAACAAGCACATTGCGTCACAAGCGCGGCAGATCGAAGCGGTTAAGAAACCAACAAATAGCGAAGTAACCTTTGAAGGTGGTAACTTTGCCTGAAATAAAAGTAAGTCGGTAAATTGTAGAACGTGATTGTCCTATTAATTACAATTTCTCGAGAGAATTTAGAAGGTTATCGAGAGAAGTATGAAAAGAATAGACAAGTATTAAAATAGTACCTACTAGGAAGTGTCGCATGCAAGTCATTCCACTATAATAAGAAATAATGAGAAATAATCTACCCTAACGTGATCTTATATTAATCAACTCACCGTTTCTCCGGTTCTAAATTGTCGCTCAGTGCCTGAAAGCAAAAGAAAACAGATTGGTCATTTAATGAAATGATACACGGAGTGATTAATAACAGCCGATGGTAGGAAAAGAGTTGCACCTACACGTGTGAGATTCTTTAAATGAGACATTAAGAAATATGTCCGGATAGCTGCATCATTTACTAAAGCTTACCACCGGTGGTATCGATCCGTATCTGTTAGCCAGATGAGATAAAAACGCGAATCATTTTTCACATCTCGGTAATTAATAACGTGTACACAACTAACTCGAACAAAATGATCCTGTATACAATTTGCAATACGTATTTAAATTCCAAGTGATTGATTGGCTGAAATCTCGTGTCGAATAAAGGTACGCGACAACATCAATAATCGTGAAAGAAGCTACGTGCTAATGGAACGATGACAGCGCAATATTCCAAGACATTATGCCAACCTTGCAATTTCATTACACCCTTGTAAATTGCAAGATATCTTCTCTTAAACTTCTTTAAATATAACGTAGATGTAATATCGTTTAAAAAAAAAAGAAAAGAACAGGTTTCACACTTTGTTTAATTTTGTTTGAAATTTTGAAAACGGCACCGTAAACGTTAAACAAGATTTACTCTTGGTAGATCTCTACCATGTTGTACTTTATTATTCAAAATTTTATTTCGCAATATCGTTCGAAACAACGAAACGATTCTTCATTGTTCCTAACACAAGGTTCGCCGGCAGATTTTCTACAGCTCTGTTCAGCAATCCTATTCAACCGTGATTCGTTCGACTGTCAGTGTGTAATAAGACAAAAGGTGTAAAATAAAATGCACGAAAGATTGGCGTAAAATTAACCTAACTTGTTGAAAAAGGAGCGGGGAAAAAAAAAAGAAGAAAACAAAAATACAAACACACAAGCCTAGGGATTTGTCTCGTGTAGTTTGGATAGTGTAAACCTAAGAACGCGTAATTTTGTTCGTCCGCTTAGCATCGTACTCGCTATGGGTGGGCTAATAGTAATTACGGGTTTAGACTCCGCGATCCGATTGCCTGGACGGAGGAGATTGTATCTACAGATGCGTGCGGAATGAGTATCGGTCGCATTAATAACGGGCTGGTGGTATAGGTTTCGTATCCAAGCATAATAATCCAACGTTGATCAGGCGTGGGACTTTTTTATAGCTTCGTGGTAGCACTTTTGTGGTTACCACGCGTCTAACTCATGAACATGTAATCCTATCACAATCTTAAAATTGACACGCGTGCAACTATAAACGAGCTATCTATCACGTTCACCGTTAATGGTGAAAATATTTCTTTTTTTCTTTTTTCGCATTTTTAGAAAATTATTTCACCCAGGAAAATAGAATCGTACTTTCATCCAGCTTTCGTAAATAAATTTCTTCCGTACTGTTGTACCATTTAGAAATGATATTTTGAAATTTGTTTTAAATGGACACAGTAGATTGCTCTACGCTATACACATACACAATAAATGTACGCTGTATCGTAATTACCATTGTATCGAACAAAAATTAGTTCTTAGGTATACAGAACGAAGTACATGAAAACATATTGGACTATTATTAAGTGAATCTCAACGGAAATATCACACACATAATGTAAAATGATTTGGTTAGTTTTGTTAGAAATGATTCAGATAATAAGGTAAGTCGTGAGTTCTTAGTAGAGGTCCCTGTTTCACGTGTATTAAAACCAAGGATTTTTAATTACCAAATACTCGTTTCATGTGTACCTTTAATGTACGTACAAAGCTTTTACCCGATTTATGTATATCAAGTTTTGTAATATTTAGAACAATTTACACAATCAGTTCTAGCCTTCGAAATAAAGAGTATTATGCTTCATGGTCTATACGCATTTTTTATTAATCACATTCTGTTTCCATTGCATATGAATAAAGGCACTTAACCCTTTCGCTGCGGCAGATTATCGGCAAAATCGTTCGTTTCGGCGTTTAAAAATTTCAAATATGTCATTTTTTTAATTTCTACCATTAAATTGAAGCGAGAGTACTCGAAGGATCGACTTTTAAGCAAAATTTAAGGAAAAGAAAATTTCCAAAGGGCCTATAGGCGCCAATAGCAGTGAAAGGGTTAAACAAGGCAACCAACAGATCAAACGAAACGACGTGAACTGACTTAGAACTTACAACTCAGCCTATTATTTCCCTTACAAAACGCCAAAGTATACGATTATTACAAAAACACAACAACACATTGCGTATTATTTCGTAAAAATAAAACAAAAGAAAAAAACAACGAAACCGCCGTAACGTAAACATTGTGTTCGAAGTGAAAGATTGTAGGAAAGTTAAGAAGAAATAGAAATGTTAAATAAAGGGAGGAAGAGAAGAAGCAGGGAAAAAGCAGAAATTGATGCTATGCGACACTGCCCACCTGCGAAATTTACTAACACTGCCCGCGTCAAAGGTAGTTTATTTTTCGCACGGTATAGTTCACCTTCCTCCGGATAAAAGCAGGATCGGTCTCTCTGCTGATTCCACCATTCAATTTCACGATCCTTAGTCTAATATACGACCACGACTAAATCAGGATTATCGACCGACGAGCTGCGCCTCCATTGTAAGCCTTCGTGGCGGTCCACACGAGCTCACGCAGAAGCAATCTTTTCATGAATGCACCTTCCCACCATTGCACCTTTTCCTATTCACTCCTCTAACTTCCTTTTAGCTGTAGCCGCAAAATACCATGTACGTATCAATATATCATTTGTCCTATTCTATTATAACACTTAGGAATTAATTGTACGGTTGCGCAAAATCACTTTATAAATAAACAGCCGACTACAATTATCTTTTAACCGAAGCAAAGAAACTGCGATAAACTGGCTACACGAATTTAATGTTTCTTTTCTTTTTGTTACGATACGACCAACCTGAAGAACTTATAATGTATAAAACGTGTGGTTTTTAAGTGTAAACATGAATATAAATGGAAATATAAAGGACGAATTCTGTTTTAAATTGCTTAATTTCTATTAAGCGATGAAATAAGGGATAACGAATCTGAGAACATCGATACAAGCGTGCTGTAAAAGTTAAATTTATGTAAATATATTGAGAATCTTTTGAAAAAGTTATTGAGATACTACGATACACGAGAATTAATAAAAACGAATTAAGGGAAAATTGATTCGACTAAAGGGTATAACTGAATAAGCATGGTAAAAGTGCCCCTAAATCAAATTGACCTTGTGACATGTCAATCGATAGGCCTATCAAGGAAAACTCTTTCTGCCAAGTTCCAGCCTCCTCTCCCTACTATAAGGGTAGTTATAGACTGAAACGTGATTTACAGTTTAAGCTCGATTTCTTTTGTATTGCACAAAAAAAATTAGGGATACTGTGACCAGTGGGATACACATCTGGGAATTTTTCCAGATTTTTAATTGCAAAACTGAGATTCACAAAAATTCTAAAAGTTTAAAAATGCCGATTTCTTTTATCGAAGTGATCAAGTGACAGTATTTATATTTTTCACACTTTCAACAGGCTGTTATAATTACGAATTCGTAATTTTCGTAATTTTGTCAGAATGTTTCGGTGCGCCGTAGTTAAAAAAAAAAACAAATTAAAACGTTTATCTTTACGTACGAAGTTGAAAGATAACCGAAACTATTAAGAAGCGAGGACACTTTGGCGAAAAGACGATAAGACAGCTTTTAATAAACAAACTTTACACCACACTCGTTATTATTCTCCATTCTTAATGTTTATACGAACAAACGTAAAAACTTGTGACGTTTGAAACCGCTCGTTGTGCAATACGAGAGAAAAATTGATCTCAGTTAAAAGTCAGTTGATCTTTAACTGTTGAGCTACAGTGTACGTAACACTTGTCGTTATTCTTGAAACTATAAAAGAAGAATAAAGCGGTATAGAATATTTTATACAACTAGGTCGTAACTCGATAGACATATAAAAAAATACGAATTTGGTTGCGAAAAAAGGTCGACTGCGAAAAAGATAACAAGGCTAAATCACATTTTTTTATGTCAGCTTCGGGTTTACGTGCAGCACGGTGCAAGATGCGCGCACAAATTCGTATAGGTTTTTGCAAGAAGGGAAGGCTTCGATTGTGTAAAGACGATTTAAATGTTACACGCATTATTACGTAGACCTGAGAACAATTTCTCAGAAAATAAATTAATATTTATGTGTGAATGCATGTGCTCTGCACAGTACGTATGATACATGAATTCATTAAAAATTTTAATAAACATTTAATACAAAAAAGTATATAAAACATGAAAAATGTTTTTACTTCTTACAGACAATTGCACTTTCTAAAAATCGTATAAAATTAACGTAAAATTCAGATTGAAATTAAATAAACAGTGTAGCAAAATTTCTTCATATTTTGTCAATAGTAAGTAATTTCTTTTAGAATAATAGAATATGTTTCGAAACAATTTACGCAATATCATGTCTCCTGTACCAAAACAAAACAAAAAATTGCGAGATTGACTCTTGTATATGCAAAAATTTAACCGACAAAGGGGAGATACTACAGCTACTGAGATTTCTAAAAAGTGCCAATCTTCAAAAACTTAAATAAATACCGTCACTACAGAACGAGTCGCTAATAACTGAACTTAAAGGTTGATGCGACTTAAAATAAATAAATATTATGTTGTGTACTGAATTAATTACGCATTTTCGTAAATTAATAATTTACGAAAAAATAGGAGGTTCAATTTACTTTAGTTTAAATATTGCAACGCAATTACCTATACGTGAGAAACAAATGCAATGAAATGAAACTACAGTATCGCAAAAAATTAAAAAAAAAAAAAAAAAAACACGGATAAATTTGATCAGGCGCAAATGCAACGGAGAGCCGTTGGAAAAGAGCGACGTCGGCATACGTCGTAGGCGTCAACAAACGGTAGGTATCGGTGGTATTTATTGGGAATATTTATGAGGGGTGTGCTTTCATGTTTTGCACCGAGTGGGTCGTAATATTTTGACGGTCCTCGTCCCATCATC